CGTTGTTCTCCTTCTCCTTCGCTCTCCTCCTTCGTCGGTGCTACTTTCGCCGGTATCAGATTTCCTGATCGCGTTCCATGTATGTACGCGAACAAAAGAAAGGTTTTTCAAAAATAATTTAAAATTTTTAATTTGTTTCATTTGGATGATAATTTAGAATAAATAAATAAATAAATAAGATGTATTAAGAATAAATTATGAGTCAATAGGATGCAGTAAAAAATTGGGCTAATTTAAACATTTTTTAGGTGTAAATAGAATCTCTGTGTCTATGTCTGTGCCCTTGGAGTCCAGGAAAAGAGACTTGCTTTGGGCCCACAACTCGACTCACGCGGGCCTGGCTGCTTCCCGGAGTATGATTTTTCTATTTGGGGGGCCGTCATTGTAATTTGAGAACACTCGAAACTTTTTTATTTATTTGTTTTGGTCTGAAGAACATTTTGGAACTGAGAAATGTCTCAAAATCTATTTTTTTGCGAAGTACAAAATGTTAAATTTCTCTATGCCAATGTACTTCTAATCACAAAATGTGGTAGAAATATCAAGATACAAAAACTCAAGATAGCATTGTACAATTGGTAATTTATTAGAATATAAATTTATAGATAGAGGATTAGTGTTGTTGTTTTCTAGGTGTAAATTGTAAATCGATGATGAATTTGTTCTATAAAGTCACTTGTCGCCTTTTCAACCCTTGAATTAATATTTTTTGTTATACCAAATATTAAAAAATATGAAAAACATTTAAACCAAACAAACAGAGCTAATGAGTGACATTAATGAGTGAGATAGAAGATGGGTTGTCTGTGGAGTTATGGCTTCTTTCACCAACAAACATGTGCAGAATTATGTCACATATTCTCCACAGCCCTTGGTTAGAATTATTCTAATTATTTAGATTTTTTTTTTTTGGTGCTAGGAAATCATTGCAATTATTTTTAATTATTGGTGAAAGAATATATGCTTCCAAATATGGGGTAACATCAATGGCTCCACTCCTACGGTTTGTCTTATGCTATTTGATTTGGGAATAGGATATGACCGGACAATTTATGTTAAATATTTTCTTGAATGAGTTATTTGAAGGATGGTGTTTTAATTATTTTTTGTCAAAAATGTTATTCCACACAAGTTAGAATAAAAGGATTTTGAGATATAAGTTATCCCAAATCACAAAATTTGAACCAAATAAGTGTTCCTTTTATTCAAAATTAAATAGTCTTATTTGCCTTTTTCACAAATCAAAGGTGACCAAAGGTATAAAAAGTCAATTATTCTCTCCTTCACATACACATACCATTAGGTACTAATCACTAAGAGTATCTCCGACCTTTTTCCCTGTCTACATTAAAAATGAGTAAAAATTTAGTTAATGGTTTGCTTTGGTATGGAGTACTATAACCTTACTCTCTTTTTTTTTTTCTTTTTTTTTTTGAAATTTATTTTAAAAACTTGTTTTAACCATTTTTGATGAGAAAAAAAAAAAATCATCTCTAATCTTTACTTCTTTTAAAATTTCATAAAGTTTGAACAAAAATATGTATGTTAAAAATTTGGTAAAGGGTTTGGTTAATTTTTTATTGGGTGAAATTTTTCAGATTCATACCAGTTTAATTAAATGACTGAAATTCACTTTTAGTTCTTTATTTATTAAATCTAACATTAAAGATGCCTTAAGTCAGTAGAGTGAAGAAACTAGTGGAGTGATATGGTTGATCACACTAGCTTGAGATTCCATAGGGTTGCAACAACTAGCTAGGTTACATTGGCATCAATGATTAGATAGGTGAAAAAAGATGCTAAACCTCAAGTTACAATTGAGAGGGACCCAAGAAAATATATATATATATATTAATTGTGTTTAGTTTCAATTTTTAAAAAATTAAAATTTATTTTTTGTATCTTTTTGTTTTTAGTGGATATTTTTAAAATTTTAAGCATTTTTTTTTAATTTTTTTGATACGCCTTATTTAGATGTATCTAAATAGTAAAATATTTTTGAAAAAATATTTTAAAAAATTAATAAATACACAAAAATATGAAAAATGTATTGAATTTATATATATATTTTTTATATTTTTGGTACTTAGTAAATTTTTTAAAGATGCTTTTCATAAATATTATACTTTTTAAGTATATTTATGTTAGGTGTATCTAAAAATTAAAAAAATTCATTGAAAAAAAAAAAAACCTATGGAAAATAAAAAATAAATTTTTTTGAAAAGAGTTTTTTGAAAACTAAAATCAAACAAGCTAATTATTATTATTATTATTAGGCATGAAGTAGCTGTACTTGGCCTTTATGTTAGATTAATACATCACCTTAGTTTATTTTTTAAATTTTGTCTTTTAATTACTTGTTACCAACTATGATTGATTCTCTACTATAACCTTGCAAACAAACATCTTATGGGTTAATTTTTATTCGATTCTTAATGCTAAACTCCACTTGGATAGTGATTAATTTGAAATGGATCTTCTGTGATGATGAACGCAAGAAAAAAAAAACAAAAACAAAAACAAAAAAAAAAAAAATCCAAAAAATAGATATTTTAGTTAATTGAATGTTGGCTTGTAAGAAATTTTTGGATTGAGGTTGGTTTTTCATTAAGTATGGTTTATTTTGATTTTGAAATTTTTTACACCAATAATGATGGAAGTAACGAAATATTCTATATAAATTTTGTTATATTCTAACTTTTTGAGCATTAAAATATAGGTGCTCAATGCTCTACACATTTTGCAATAATAATTAGAAACTGAGGAATTTATAGAACAGTTCCCACTCTCTTTCTTCATTTATTATTGATATATTTTATAGGTTTTTACCTTAAAATTTCATGTGAATATTTTCTTTACACAACCCAAAAGCCCACAGAACTGAAACATAACATGTACAGTTTCAGTTTTTTAACCAACAAAATTGAAAGATTTGATTCGATGCTAAATTTCTCATAAACTCCAACCAAATCAAATAAATTGCACCCTCAATTGGACGGACCAAAATGGCATTTATAGTTTCTAATGGATACAAAATAGACTCTTGATGCAGTAAGAAAACGTAAAGAGCTGCATCTGTAAAATGTCGAGTCTCCTCTTCAAGATCATGCCATTTATTTCAACCTTCTTTTTAAAAAGAAAAACTTTTAAAATATTATGCTAAAACTGCATTTTGCATATCTTTTCTAACGAACTCCCTTAGACAATTTAACTACATATTTTAATGATGATGTATTCAAACCTAATGAGGTGTAATTCAATATGTTTGGTCGTTAAACCGTCGTTAGGATCAAACATGATCTCAATTTCTATGACAGTTACAATACTAGTCTAGTTTACCTACAATGATAAAATAGAGAGAAGACCTAAAAAAATTGTTTGTAAAATATTGGCTTCTCAGAGTTTTGACTTTTGTGAGGAAGGTTCAACTAATGAAAAATTCATTAGAGAGAGAGAGAGAGAGAGAGAGATGGGAGAAAAGCTATTGTGCTGTCTAGCTAAAATGGATAAAAAATCATTGCCTCTGGCTCTCACACTCCTGTCAAATTGAGATTATAGTAACTCAACACAAATGATAACCATATTCAATGAGCAAATTGACAGAAATGCCCTGGAAATGGAAGTTCTCAGTCACAAATTAACAATTCACAAGCATAATAATACAAGCCTTTTTATATTAGGTTTCCATGGAAGAAAGCCTGCAATTTTTATTACAAAAATCAGAAGAAAGGCATACTTCAACCCGCTTCAATGTCAATGCATTTTGTTTGTTATGAGAAACATGAGTTACACCAAACGTCACAAAAGCACGCCTTTGAATCACAACAATGTCTAAAAAAACAAACCACAAAACAAAACAATTCTATGTCTTCCACCCACCACTTGGCCTGGCCTAGCGCTGACCAATAAATGCTTGTTTAAATTTGAACCAAACGATCCAAGAACGTGCCCCAAGTCTCCTCTAGTTAGGAGGTTGAAGTATAAAATATGCTAATCTAATCAATCAGGCACATAGGGATATATATGCAAATGAAATAGTGGTTCCATCTTCTGCATTATTTTTCTATGTATTATATACATTGGATTTGACTTGCACTATGTGGAAATAGTACCCCCCCTCAACAACATGCATTGCATAGATACACATATTTTGTCAAATAAAGTATGATTAATTGGAAGGACTGCAGACCCTTTTGTTGGAAAGTTGTTACCTGAACCAATGCCATCGATGCTTCCAAAGTGTGTTTCATCTCTGGCATCTTCCAACAATGTCAGTTCAGTGCCACCCACATGACCTTAGAATACAATTACCAATTAGCCCAAAATATAGCAAACTCTACGAGCATTGACAACCATGCTACTTTGGTCCTTTGCACTTCTTGAAATGCCACTTCAGGTATGCAAAAAAATGGTGTAATTACAAAGAAAATCCTAGTAGTTAGTGGATGAAAACTGACCTTAAGGAAGAATTTACCATCATCAGAATATGCTATGTCATGTAAAACACGTGGCAAATGAATTCCTGGAACAGTTAGATCGACAGAAGTTCAAGAAAAGGCTAAATTAATGTTCAAGGGTAAAACTGTAATTTTGACAGGCAAGCTAAGAATTGTTTCAAATTTTGATAATCTAGAAAATCTCCCTACTATTAAAAAGACATTTGATAGGTTTGATCCCCATAGTCATAGTGTATAGCATGCAAAAATGAAATGGAACTGATCTACCATGCAAATTTCTTTAATATCAAGCAACTCCTAGATAAAATTCACTCTAAATGATGGCATAAACAAAACAATTAATCAATCCCATTATCATAAAGGACAACTTTGCCTTTGTTAATGGGTTATCACTAAGTCAACTAATTAAGTCAAAATATACACCTAAATGTGACTATTGTATTATATGTGTGTGTGTGTGTGTGTGTAAGAGAGATGTTTCAATCATAAGAAACAAAAAGAACCCACAAGCCCACAAAGTTTTTTTCCATCATGAAGATGCCATTTGATTCCTTTCTCAATTCTTTGTCATGGTCTAGGACAATCTCTATATAAATAAATGCCTACAATGTTAAAGCTTGCAAGCTCCCATTGACTTTCAACAGACATCCTAAATCACTTTTTTGGATCACAGAACAAACCATTGTTCAAAAATGGTAAGCTCTTGGTTAATTATCAGCTGACCATGAAGCTTTATCAAGAAAAGTGGTCACCAATCACATTTTACCATTTAGTGGAGTTTTCCATCTTCACTAGTCTCGGGATCACCATTATAGACTCCGTGATGGGAAAGTTTAGTTGTGCATAGGATTTTCATGGATCACACAGCTTGTGTCTGTTCTGTGATCCGTTTTATGAAAATCTTCCATGCAACTAGCACAATCCTTCTATGATATATTTAATGCATTATCATCTTTTTCACCATAAGTACTAAAACAATACAATTGTCTTTGTCCTAACTAGTTTCTTGCGCCACCAATGTCCAGGGCATATGCAGAGATGTTAAAGCTCAACCCAAACAACAGCCAAAGTTGGGAGGAAATAGGGCTGCTCTGTTTGTGTATGGTAAGCATATATAATTCACTCTTTTAAAACTAGATTGTAACCATTTGGGGCTGGTTTTTGACTGGTTTTGAGTGTTGATATATTGTTGTAGCCACGGTTGGACTTGAGAACATGGCATTCATCGCCAATGCTGTCAGCCTTGTCACTTACTTCTACGGATACATGAACTTCAGCTTGACAAAGTCGGCCACCACACTCACAAACCTCATGGGGACTACATTTTTACTGTCATTATTCGGAGGATTTATCTCCGACACCTACTTGTCCAGATTCAAGACTTGCATTCTGTTCGGAAGCATTGAAGTCGTGGTTCGTTAATTTACTATTTTTGCAACTATCCATCATGTTGTCACCCAACAAATATATAATATACACACACAAATAGTATACATTTCCATGCTAATATTCCAACAAGTATATTGAGATGAAATGTTAGAGTTTGCTCTGAAACCACTTTTCAAAATTGCAACCTAAAATTTGGTATTGGTTAATTAAGTTTTTGAAAACAAGGTTGGGGGAGAAAAGTAGGAAAGCAGATTTCTAAACCTCATGTTGCAGCTTACTCAATTTGTACAACTTTTCAGTCCTAGGTGGGGTAGAATAAGAAAATAAAAAGCGCATATAAAATTTTTAATAGGCATGAGGTCCTCTATTCCTAAATCCCTCTATTCTAATGTACTCACAGTTGTACAATCACATCTTGAGTATTCTGTATCTCAAGATTCTTATCATATCCTGTGACTAAGAGTGTACTAGGACAGAAAAATTTGGAGACAGATAATTCCTGTTGGTTTTTATGTTTTAAGTGGGGAAGGGGGTGTTGTAACTTAAAAAAACTCAATATTTTGACTTTTCATGTGCACCATGATGGAAAATTTTGCAAAAAATTGTTGGCCTGCATGTTTGGAGATGAATGGTAGCTTAAAAATATTGTAATTACTTACACAATTCATTGACTAGAAAGATGCAATAATAGAACAATTATTTCATCAATCAATAACATGTGACATAGTCACTGGTCTTAGTGGTCTATCATGAACCAACTATTAACATATTGAAGAATCATATGATATAACATTACAACTACCAGCAGGCCTGTATGTATTTTAGTTGGTTGTTTGAGTTTTGTTAAATAGCCTAATACACATCCAATGTTCAATGCACCTTAAACTAATAACCAATTCAAAGCAGCAAGTTAGCAAAAATAACAATAATACTATGTACACAGAAAAAAGAAGAAACTGAACAAAGTAGAGCTACTCATCAGGCGACAACCATAGCAAGAATTGAATCCAATCCTCAAAGTTTAATTAGAATGGTTGTGATCAAAGAGATCCAACTGTTTCGAATCAAATTCTCATTGACTTAAAAAACTAAAATCACCATCAAATTCACGTAACGTAAGAATAGTATGTTACTTTGTATGACCCTATATGTTATGTGTGTGTTTCCAGGGGTACACCCTCCTAACAGCACAAGCACACTTCAGCGAACTAAGACCATTTTCTTGCAAAGATATGCCTCCAAGCAAAATGGGTCAATGTGAGGCTGCAAGTGGCAGCCAAGTTGCTATCCTTTTTGCCGGTTTGTATTTAGTTGCATTTGGAAACAGCGGGGTTAAAGCTGCTCTCCCGTCTTTGGGAGCCGACCAATTTGATGAAAGGGATCCACAGGAGGCGGCTTCGCTGTCCAGCTTCTTCAACTGGTTGCTGTTCAGCATCACCGGTGGAGCTATATTTGGCGTGACGTTCCTAGTCTGGATTAGTACTAATCAGGGTTGGGATTGGTCCTTTGGCGTCTGTACTCTTGCTGTCCTAATGGCATTTTTGTTTCTAGGCATGGGAAAATCAGTTTATCGGAACAATGTCCCCAAGGGAAGCCCAATTGTTCGTATTCTACAGGTATGCATTGCCATTCTTGAGCAATAAAAGTCCTGGATGGCATGAACATTGAGACACGAACTACTAGTTTATGAGCTCATATGAGTCACTGAGCCGGAAATAGGGCACAAGACCTTCGGTCTCCAAATTATTCTGTCTCTACATCTCAATGCAACCTTAGCTAAGGGTTGACAACGAGCTTGGCTAGGTCAGCCCAACCTCCAAAAGTTGGGCTGAGCTTTGGGCCTACTTTTATTTATCTTTTTACTTTTTGTCCAGTTCAAGGGCTGGGCCGCCTCTCTCATGACAACGGGCCGGCCTCAAAACCTAGGCTAGACCCAATCCAAGCCTTATTCAAGCTAGCTTAGCCTAACCGTGGTATGGACTTGGGATGGACAATGGGCCTGCAGACCAAATGATAACCCCTATGGTCCTTGACCGAGACAAAAAAATTTGAGAACTTCCTTCTGTGTTTCAGGTGAAGGTATACTTCTAAAATTTCTTGTGCTCTGAAATTCAGGTGTTTGTGGCTGCCATTCGAAACCGAAAGCTTCCAATACCAGAGACAACAAAAGAGTTGCATGAGATTCATGACAAAGAACCCAGAACAGGAAGCGAAATTCTTGAAAGAACAGATCAATTCAAGTATACTAATTCATCAAACTTTCCAAACTCATCTATAGTCATTTTTTCAAGCTAGTTTTGAGTTCATCTCATCAACCATATTATCCAATCAACCCTGACAGGTTTTTGGACCAGGCAGCAATCATTAGCACCACACAAGATGCATCCACATCAAGTATCAATCCAGGACCCTGGAACATGTGCACAGTGACACAAGTTGAAGAAACAAAAATTGTGGTTCGGATGCTTCCAATTATACTAAGCACCGTCTTCATGAACACATGCTTGGCTCAACTTCAAACATTCACGATCCAGCAAAGCACCACCATGGACAGAAGCCTCCTGGGATTTCAAGTTCCGGGCCCTTCCATTCCAGTAATTCCCCTAGTGTTCATGTTCCTTCTAATCCCTGTATACGACCGCATCTTCGTTCCCATTGTGAGAAAATTCACTGGAATCCCAACCGGGATTACATATCTTCAGCGAATCGGAGTGGGACTTGTGCTCTCAGCTATTTCCATGGCAGTTGCTGGATTCGTGGAAACTCACAGGAAATCCGTGGCTGTTAAGCACAACATGGTGGACTCGGCTGGTCCTCTGCCTGTAACTGTGTTCTTGCTTGGTTTCCAGTTTGCAATCTTTGGATTGGCCGACATGTTTACACTGGTGGGACTGTTGGAATTTTTTTATGCGGAGAGCTCATCGGGGATGAAGTCACTGGGCACAGCTATTTCATGGTGTTCATTGGCATTTGGGTACTTCTTGAGCTCAGTGATGGTGGAGGTGGTGAACAGGGTCAGTGGTGGGTGGTTGGCTAGTAACAACTTGAACAGAGATAAGTTGAACTACTTCTATTGGTTACTAGCAGGGTTGAGTGTAGTGAATTTTGGGGCTTATTTGGTGTGTTCATCTTGGTATAGATATAAGAAGGTAGAAGTGAAGGAAGTAGGTACTAGTGATCTAGAGGGTAAAATTGAAATGGGACGAGTTTAGAATTGGGATCTAGGGATGGATGATTTCCTATCATCATTCTCAAATCCCTGTACTATTGCATAAGTGTGTTGTTCAGTAATGTATACAGTAAGCTACTTTTGTTTTTAATTATAGTATTGTAAGCAAATCGAATTAAGTGGAGTAGGAAGTTCTTCAAACTTAATTTGAAAAACTTAATAAGTTTCAAAATATGTTGAAGACTGATTTGCTTGCCTTTCGAATTGATCTCAGATGAACTTTAATAAAACCAAACTCAAGTACCTTAGTTTTTTTCATAAATTTATCGAGTTAAGTATCTAAGCAGTTTTTGAAAGTTTAACAAGTTTTAAATTGAGTTTTAATTTACTTATTTTTATATAACAAATCGAACTCAAAGGAGTTTCATTTAGCTATTCGTTGGAAAACAATTCACGAATTAACTAAATTTCCTGAAACAAAAACAAGATCAAACGATAATAAAATCGTTGAAATCTTTGAATCCTTTGAACCAAGACCATTTGACACGGTAATACAACCTTGTCTAATGAATTTGAGTGATTTAGAAGTCCCTCGACAATGGTTAATCCAAGACTTAGTGGGACAAGGAAAATCTTCTAAAACAAAAAATCCTGCACAATTACAAATGCAGGCATCAGGAAAAAATTTATATATTGAAAATACAGTTCCAAAAATTAAAAGATCAACTTTTGTATTTGAAAAAGATTTTCTTAACAAATCATTTTTAAAATTAAGCATTGGAGAATCAAGTAATAATTCTAATCAAGAATCTATTACTTCAAACAATGTTCAGATTCCTATTTTTTCAGAAACAAGAAAACAACACGAACATGTTAAGTCTGCATATATGTATCATTTTCAAACAAAAAATAATGATATTATTTTTTCTCCTAGCCAAGGAAAAAGAAGATATATATATATATATTGGGAACATTTAATTTTATAGGTTATAAACCATATAGCCTCAGTGTTCTTATAGATACAGGAGCTACAGTCAGCTCATGTAAATGGAATGCCATACCAAAAGAAGAATGGACATTAATGAAACATTCAATTTTAGTTACTAGAATTGATGGTAAACATACTTCCATACAATTCAAGGCTAAAAATATAACTATTTGGTTAAATGATAGCAAGTTCATTATACCAAAAATTTTATGCTTTCCGTATATGCATGACGATTTCCTTCTTGGCAATAATTTTATATATAAATACATTCCAATGCAAATACAGGAAAAAGCTATTTCATTAAGCATAAATAATGTCTTAATTCATATTCCCTTGTTAGAACAACATAAATATATTTGTGATAAAGAGTTTGCGCCAGTGCCGCGTGGTGATTTAACTCCCATCATCAAAACTATTGATGAATCCAACTGGATTTATAAAATTTTGGAAGAAAATTTTAGTGAACATCCATTAAAACTATGCCAACGTAGTCCACGTTATTGTAGTTTAAAATTAAAAGACCCTAACGTTATCATTAGGGTAAGACCAATGATCTATACTAGACAAGATATAGATGAATTTGATATTCAACTCCAGGAACTTTTAAACAAAAAGTTTGTTACCCAAAAAGCAACCTAAGAGGGGATGAATTAGATTTCTACAAATTAAAATTAATAATACCCCAATAAAATTAACTACTAGTACAACAAATTATTAACAAGCACAATGATAAACTTAGCAGTAAATAATCAAGTAAAATAATAATGAAGTATAACTAACATACATGGTAAATCAAATGATTAATACATGAATATTGGCTATAGTAGTAGTTGGAAAGTAAAGAGATTAAGGAAGAGGAGACAAACAGATTTATAGTGGTTCGGCTTCAACTAAGCCTACATCCACTCCTTAAGGTTCACTTGAGGTTTTTCACTATCTTCTAGCTTCACAGGGGTGCCAGCAACCTCTTTACAAATGGAGCAATTCTCCACAGATTTTACACAAACTTCACAAATCCAAACCCTTGTAAATCTTAGGTGATTCACAATCACTCTCAAGATTTCAAGAACATAGTGTTTGCAACACTTTTACAAGATAAAATGGTATTTTTGCTTTCAAAGAAAGCTTACAATAAATATCTCTCAAAGATAGATATATAAAATGAAGCTTTGATTTTTCTGTAAATCTCACACATGAAAGATGGACTTAAAGCTATAAAGCTTAGTGTATAATTTCTGAGAATAGATGTGAGTGATTATAGATCAAAGAATATTTTCTGATTTTTTGTAACTTGTTTACTTTAGAGGCTTTGGTATATATAATGAAAATTATAGCCGTTTATAACTGTTGTATTCATTTGAATTTATAGCCGTTTATAGCTGTTGTAGTCATTTGAATTTATAGCCGTTGTACTTCCATCATTACCAATTTGAATATCTTTCACTCTATCATTACAAATTTGAATATCTTCCACTTGAACCTTTTGGCCTTTGGAACCTTTATAGCCGTTGTATTTTTATCATTACTAATTTGAATATCTTCCACTTGAACCTTTTGAACCTTTTGGCCTTTTGAACTTTTATAGCCGTTGTACTTCCATCATTACTAATTTGAATATCTTCTACTTGAACCTTTTGGTCTGCTGCTATGCTAGGCTGTTTGAACCTTTGTTTTGGGCTATTTGAACTCCTGATTTAATCAAATATTAAATACATTCTAACAACATTTAGGATAAAGGTTTAGGTGAGAAATAATGAGACAAAATAAATTTTGATTCTATTTTTCTCTTTCAAATAAATCATCAAAATAAATTTTGATTAAAATATAATTAAATAAATCATCAAAATAAATTTTAAATTCTATTTATCTCTTTCATAATTAAATAAATCATCAAAATAAATAAGTCTAACAATCTCTCCCTTTTTGATGATGGCACACAATGATGTTTTGATTTGATTTGAGAGTAACAAGGGCTCCTCCTCAAGCAGGGCCGGCCCTGGGGCATAAGCCAGAAGGCCATGGCCTAAGGCCCCTCAAAGTAGACTCGAAAAAGGGGCCCCCTACTATTATGATTTAGTGTAATATATTAGGTATATTTTAAGCCTAATAAAATTAAAAAAGGTCCAAACTAACTTAAAATAAATTGATCCATTAAAAAATTGAAAGACCATTAAAAAAAATTAGCATTGTTATCAATTGAAAATAGGCCCAAAAAAGGGGTCTCTCTTATTATAGTTTAGTCTAATATATTAAGTATATTTTAAGTCCAAAAACAATTAAGGAAGGCCCAAATTAACTTAAAATAAATTAATCCATTAAAAAATTGAAAGGCCCATTTAAAATAATTAGCATTGTTATTCATTAAAAATAATTTTGCAAAAAAATTAGATTATTCAAGTATAAGTGATTTATTTGCTTCTAAAAATACAAGAAGAGTGAGGATCAAGTGATACTTATTAGTTATTGTATTGTAATGCCAATGTGTCGTTTGGTAACACTTACGTTTTCAGTTTTCTGTTTATATTTACAAAAATTTTAAAAATTCAAATAAAAACTTATTTGGCAAAATTTTTGATTTATAAATCAGTGGTCTCAGTTTATAAATTTGGCCAAAAAATGAAAACACAGAAAATGTGTTTTCATTTGAGTTTTTAGTTTTTAGTTTTTTTTACCACCCAACACTAGTCACCACCCGCCACCATTTTCCACTACCGTCTTCCGCCACCACCACCTACCACCCACTCCCACCACCACCACCTGTCACCACCACTCACCACCCACCTGCTACCACCAGCCACCACCTACCTGCCACCCACTCGCCACCACCATCTACCCCTCGCCACCACTACCACCACCACCCACCACCCACCTGCCATCCACCCGCTACCACCAACCACCCGCCACTACCATCCACCGCCCGCCACTACCACCACCCACCACTTACTTGCCACCACCACTCACCAGCCACCCGCCACCACCACCCACCACCACCATCACCTATCACCCACCCGCCACCCATCTACCACCACCTACTCGCTAGCACCTATACCGTCACCCACCCACCACCACCACCTGCCAC